CAAATTGTAACTAAAATCTATAGCAATATTGTCAGGAGAGCCGCGAAGAATCAAAAGATTTATATTGGAAAAGAGGCCGCGACGAATTCCCACTTAGGGCTACTGGAGTAGTGGCAACACTGCTAATACTGACCTGAGGCAAGCCGACTTTATAATTTAAGAACGAAAGCTTATAAATTTTTCTCAGCCAAAGTATTGCAAATGTAGCCTCTCAATGCTATAGAATTTTTCTAACAACGCTTAACCTGGTGCCAATTATATGACTGGTTCTTTTATAGCAAAATCAAAACGAGCTCACGTCAAGCCAATCGAGACTCATCACTGGCCCCGGAACATTCTGCTGCGCTTTTGCCTCACACTGGCCGTTTTCACTGACTTGCCAGACACGAATCACAGAATCCCAGCTACCGGAACACAGCAATACCGGTTGTCCAGCAATCTGTGGATTGAACTTCAATGCTTCAACTGTATCATCGGGCGGTGACGGCACCTGAAATTCGGCCGCGGTAGGTGAGAGTCTCTCTTACACAGTATTTCGGCACTAGTTGAAATAGCATAGCTTATTGCTAAAACAGCACTTTGAATGCTTCCTAGAGTTGCCCCTCCAGTAATACATTAACCGTTTTCACAGACTAATAAAAACTCCTTTTTTATAATTGACTTGCTCATGAAATTGGAAACAGGTAGCAAAACACTTATTTATATATAGAAACAAACTTTTAACCCTTACTTTTTTTACATAAACACACATCATCTAAAATTAAAATTACAATAGAAACAAAAAAACACACATATCTCATCCGTATAAGTCTTCATGTATGTATAAAATATAACCCAGGCAACAATGTGCACCAGTGCTGCCGGTGCGACTATGTGTTTTTGCGCAAAAAAAAACCCCCTGAATCAGTGAAATCGTTAACAATGTGAATGGTTGTTGCTTTACTTACTGTTGTATATGTGCGCTCATGCTGGAAATGCTTTTGGCCATTTCTTTCGTGTAGAGGGAAAG